GCACATATTCTGGGGTGGGCAATCTTTCTAACAGGAAGGAATTGTTGCGGGAACAATTTTAGTTTGTACATTAACCAGCTTCCACTGTTGATTAACAGCTGGAAATATTGTGCTGGTTTAGTGATCAAAATTCAGATGCTTGAAAACTGGTTTATGTTTATAATGGTTGCCGTGTCCCAGGGACAAGTGATCACCATTTGTGACATTCTCTTCTCTTTTCTCTTCTTCCATTCCATTCCATTCCTTTCTATTCCATTCCATTCCATTTTCTATTCCATTCCATTCTTGAGATGTTTGTACATGAGAATTTTTTTTAATAAGATGTTCCTGACATACTACTAATTTTAAACCTGGGAATCCATTTTGAGGCAGGGAGCCGCTAACCGCTCTGCACGTGTTAAACATTAACAGTTAAATCACTCCCCATCCACTTCTATATCTTTTTTTATGGGTCTGGGCCTCTTCGTGGTGCAATTACAAAAATGGGGGCAACTTTGATTCCAGTTAAGAGTTGCAATTTGCCTGACTCTGTAAAAATAAATGTGCTAGCATTAAATGTGGCAAAGCCATAAACTTAAAAGAGGATTACACAATTTCTTTTACTCAGTCTTTCCCGAGTACTTTTCCTAACATTTTATTCTGTTCTTGTCTCAGAAACTCATCTGAAACATTATAATAATATGCATTTTAAGAAAGGAATCAGTTAATTGTGAAGTCGAGATCCCCCCCCCCCCTTCTTAAGGTCCAGCGCAGCTTATTTCATTTCAGGATGAACATTTTGATATGGCTTTGCATTATCTTACAACTTCAGCTACTTCAGAAATCCACGAGGAACTAGGAACAAGATTGATGCAACTGTTTTACAGAAGTAATGGGAGCCAAACACCATAATATAAAAATTAGCCAGAATCATCCTAGATAGGAGTTAACCAAATCAGGCAATTTGCTATTCAAACATGTATTTCTTCAAAACAATATTAACACATTTGCTCCATATTCTTCCCAGATCTTAAGATCCATAGCTCAGTATTTTCAAAATGTACAGAACTTGCAAGAACATATTGGGGTTGTTGTTGTTTTTTAAAAAAAGCAATGATCAATGGTACCTTAAAATACCTAGAATATCAAACTATCTCCAGTCTGTGGCTGCATTTATAAGAATTCCTCCTGAAAATTAGTTTTTTCTTTTTCACAAAATTGCAGGTACTGAAATTGAAGGAATTAGAAATATTACGAATGAAAATAACCAATTTTCCTCAAAAATCAGTTTCTTCATGTAGATTTCAAGTCTCTTTTAACATTTCCATGCTAAACAGTCCAAAATAGAGAGAGAGGGGTTGTACTCTGACCAGCAGGAAACTACAGTGACAAAGTAATAATAATAAAAAAAATGCATAATGGCTGCCAAAACAAAGGCTTTGGGAAACAGCTACATCCCCGTTTTAGGAGATTATGCATTTAATGTTTCCAGTGCAAAGTCTTCAGTGTGTTAAGTGGAAGGAGTTGAGAAGGAGAGGCAAAAATTAACCAGAGGAAGGAATGAAGGCGGCTTCCCTAGCAGTCTTGAATGAGGATAAATTAAACGGTTAAGTCAGCTTTCACCACCAACTTTCACGACTGCTAAACAAAAGCATCTCGCGATGATGAGACAGGGCCACAATCCAACAGGCTTCCATCTCTGGTCCTTAGGGGGATGATGAGGCTGGGCTTCGGCCGGGGGGGTGGGGGGTGGGAAAGGGGGGAGGCGAGATGGAGTTCGTTTTGAGCTGCCTTTCTTCTGACGCTGGATGGAATGGTCCGGAGGCAAATCCCCAAGAGACTTTTCTCCCCGTGTCATGAAATGTGAGCGATCTGTCGGACGCGGGTCTGAATTTCTTGCCGACACAAAGGGCAGGTTTCCAGTTGCAAGGCACATTCCATGCACAGATCGCTAAAAGAGGCAAGAACGCGAGAGGTTACTAAGGCGAGCAACCTTAAGGGTTAAAACGGGGCAAAATACATTGAGGGTTATTGTGGGTCTGGCTTCTGCACCTCCACCTTGCAGGAAATATTTGGAAGGAACTAAGGAACTACGGCGCATTCTAGGGCAGGGACTTATCATGTGGAAGTGGGAATGCACAGATCAGGGATTCTTAACGTTGGCAACGTTAAGATAGATGGGACTTCAACTCCCCAAATTCTCTAGACAGCACAGCTGTCTGGGGACTTCTGGGAGTTGAAGTCCATCTATCTTAAACGTTGCCAACGTTGAGAAACACTGGCACAGATTTTAAGCAAGCAACATTTACTTCCTCTTAGCAGATCTAATCCGGGGATAATGGGGAATGGGGAAACGAACAGCTGGAGGCTCCCTCTTGATGACTCCATTGCTGAGGGATCCATTTTATTCTCCCTCCATTTTGTTTTTTTCGGATATCTACATTATGGTTTTTATATTTGAATTTGCTAGAGGGAGGGGTTATAATCCTTGGTTTAACTCTGGTGCCTTTGGTGAGATGGGCGGCTACATAAATCAATCAATAAATGGGATAGAGCCCTGAGGAAGAGAAGGAATCAGGTCTTCTCAGGCTGTGGGTGGGGTGAGTCACCCACATGACGTCTCTCTCCAAAAATGAGAACAGCTCCCAACAGGTTAGTCAACAGCTGGCAAGACCTTAACAGGAAAGCAGCACACAAAAACCACCTTCCTCGCTTGCACGGTAAAGCTGCGTGTCAGCAAGATGGTGATCGGAGTGGTGTGAGGCAAGACCCGTCACTGAGGCACAGGCAGGGTTTGCAACACAACGTCCTGTCTACCACAGTGTTGATTTGGACACAATGCTGAAAATTGCTTGGGGGGGGGGTGCAGGTAGTCCTTGACTTAACACCCGTTCATTTATGACCATTCAAAATTACAACAGCATTGGAAAAAAAGCGACTTAGGACCAATTTCCACTCTTGTGACCGGTTGTAGCATCTCCTCAGTCACATGATCAAAATTCAGCCGCTTGGCAACTGGCAGGTATTCATGACAGTTGCAGTGTCCCGGGATCAGGTGAGACTACCTTTTGCAACCTTCTCACAAGCAAAGTCAACGGGGGAAGCCAAATTCACTTAACAACTGGCACAGTTCATTTAACTGTTAAGCCGTTTCGGTTAACAACTGTGGCAAGAAAGGTCATAAAACGGGGCAAAACTCATTTAACAACTGACTTGTTTAGCGAGAGAAATGTGGGGCTAAATTGGGGTCATAAATCACAATGTATCGATGTATCTAGACCAGATGTGCTCGGCAGCTGTTCACTCAGCCAAGGGCAATGGATGGAGGGGGGGGGGAGATTGGGGCTGAAATGAGAAGAAACCCTGATCAAACGTCGCTGTCTCTTGAGGTACCTGTGTCCACAAGGCCTGAGTTCTGTGTCAGCTATCTCGTCGCAGCAAAGCGTACAGCAATTTTCTCGAATGCTCACTTGCTTTAACAAGGCCAGGCGTCTATGTCTGAGGATTAAACAGCAGGAGGTGAAAAATCTACACATAACTGATGAGGCAGTCACATCCACACCAAGGTAAGCAGCCCACTAACTCCTCACCGAAGGAAGACAATCATTTACTCTCTGCAAACAAAGGCAAGATGCAGAGCGCAAAGGCGTATCCCCAGCTTTCCAGATCCACGCGCGTTACCTTGGCAAAATGATTTTCTCTTCCGCTGTCAGGAACGCATAATCGTTAAAGGTGTTAAATTTCGCAGAGGGCGGATATCTGAAAGGCTTTGCTCCAAAGTTGAACTCACACTGTTGATAGGACATGAAACTAGCTGCAGCAAAGAAGCCGGAACTGTGCAATAATGGAGGAGAAAAAAAATATCAGTCCAACAATACAAGCTACCTGTTGCAGTTAGTTCTTCATAGTGAAATACCCATGATTTTTAAAGCCAGACAATGGCTGTTGTGTCTTTTGTGGCTCTCCAAAGCCTGGACTACAACCTTTATCACACCCAACACTTCTTTTAAGAGAAAGAATGCCATCAGGGGAGTGGCATTCACAGCTGGGGG